CAGACAGACAGACAGACAGACAGACAGACAGACAGACAGACAGACAGACAGACAGACAGACAGACAGAGATGAATAAAGGTAGACAGAGTGAGAGAGCAGCCAATTTTTCCAAGTGTCGCCTTTCAAAGACGTTGACGGGCTGACCTCGACCCCCAAGATATCAGAAAAAATACGGCGATCAGAACATTGACTTTGGGCTAGTTCTACCTCTTTCTCCTCGGGGTTTGTCTAACTTTCTGACAAGTCAAAGTGCTGAGTGTTGAAGAAAATGGGGACACAGCGAATCTCTCATGACCTCCTGATAATGCTCGCGGGTCTTCTCTTGAGATAATCTCATTGATGGTTACACACCACTAAATCATAGGTTTGTCTTGGCGTGTCATTTTTAATAGTATGTTTATTACCTCGAACCTCAAGCTAGAACGTGTAGAAAGAAGAAATCTGTGTGTATGTGTGTGTAAGTGTGTGTGTGTGTGTGTGTGTGTGTGTGTGTAGAGTACCTCGGGGACACTCTTAAAGTTATCAAAAGTGGGTGTTGGCTACAAGAAGGTTGACAAAAACTGTTTTAGACCCATGTGAAGTCATCAGGTTAGTTGGTTAAAAATATAATCTGGCTAGTTGTGACGAGCTTACTGGGTTTTGTCAATAAAATTCAAAATCACCATCATTATCTTTTAGTTTCACTCGCCCTGACGGTGAAGTTTTTATCAGTGCTACTGCAACAAGTAGGCTACTTTCCAGGAGATCGCTGTGACCTCGACAACTCAGGCATGAGTGAACTACAGTGTATCTTTGTCTGAAATGAAACTGTAGTTGAACGGAAAATACCACCGTACGTTCTGTCGAACGTTTATTTTCGTCACGTCTACGTAACATGACATTAATCTGGGGAAAATATTGAGATTTAAAAAAATAGTGGACAGTCGATCCTGTTCTAACAGCCACCTGTCAAAGACAACCACCTGTAGACCTACACAAGACAGCCTCCCACTTCCCTCCTTGTGCCCCCCCCCCCCTTTCTATTTTATAATTACACTATCTGAGACGACCACCTGTCTAGGATGACCACTTTACTCCAGGACAATACGCTACCTTAGAATTACAAAGTTCTATCTGACATTGTTGGCCATTTTGAGTAACTAAGACCATACAAGGTCAAAAACGAAACGTTCTACATATGTATCTGCGCTATCAAATATCCTAAGATCTTTCGGATTCGTCATCAAGATATTCAAAGAAGTGAATTAAAAAAACCTTGGCATGTGAAGCTCATAATATTTTTTACGTCAACCCTAGCATCTGCGTTTGTTGCCAATTTTTTGGCCAAAAGTTGCCACAAAAATGGCAAAAGTTGCCAAAAAAGTTGCCATTAATTTTCAAGCTTTCAACTCTCTGTGGTGACGTTATACAAGTATAGCATGTTGATAGAGGTAACTTAATCTAAAACACCAGAATTTCTTGTGTTCTGTTTTAAGCAACCAGAATGTCATTTGTAGCAAAACAGGATGTAAAACGTGAAAAATAAAAGTTTCAGAACAGAATGAAATCAAAATTAGAACAGCAGATAAACAACCACAAAAATTAACAAATAAAATATCCGAAGATTGGCCGTTTTACCCCTAAACGAGTGTAATTTTAGAAAAAGTACCGGATATTACATGTACTTACATGTGTAAATTATGGAATCACTCACAAGGGGCCTGTCAGTGTCAGAATTTAGTTTGATAGAGACACGCTCTAGCATAGCACATTTTTATTTTTTTTAAAGATGGGAACAACATCAAATTAAATGACATACGCTATATAAACATCAAAAAACAGAAAAAAGAACACACATCAGAACAATAACAAGGACAATGGAAACACAATAAAGTATAAAGAGGGACAAATTAAAGGGGAACAGCAATACATAAACAGTTTGTAATGTACTCATTCTTCACATGAAATTTCATTGAAAATAACAAATCAACGTGGTGTCAACACGTGAGAATAAGAGACGAAGTGAAAGTGAACTTTCTAGTTATATCTTTCTAAAAGTAAAGTTAATGAGGTTCGGTTTCTTTATTTTTTTTAAATTTTTTTTTTTTGGTATGTTTTAATTTTTTGTAACTCGATTTTTATTCCCCGGGGTTTGTTTTTCGATTTTTTACTCCCGAGCGGTGTTTTTTTTTTTTTTCTTTT